TTGACGTCATCAACTCCCGCACCCAGGGCTTCCTGGCGCTCTTCTCAGGTCAGGCCACCGCTGGTGGCTTCCGGGGACACCTCGCCTGTGTGTCCTGACGCAGCCCCCCATCTCCTTGACCCACCCCAGTGAGCTGCTTTCTGTCCTCCATCTGCCCGTGGTTCCTCCTGGTCGCGGTGGTGTGTTAGGGGCGGGCGCCTGCCTGCTCTCGCCCCTGGTCCTCCTGAGGCCATTCCGGCTGCCCCAGCCTTCCTCCTGCTCTGCCACCAGTCTCGGTGTCTCGCTCCTCCATCCCAGTGTCCCATCGCTGTCCCGGCCCCCGTCTCCTCTGGAGTCCCACATCGCCTCTCTCCTGTAGGTGACACAGGGGAGATCAAGTCAGAAGTCCGCGAGCAGATCAATGCCAAGGTGGCAGAGTGGCGTGAGGAAGGCAAGGCGGAGATCATCCCGGGGGTGAGCGGCCTGCGGGCGGTGGGGGCGGCCTGGGGAGGAGGGCACAGGTGGGAAGCTGACCTGCCCCTGCGGCCCCCAGGTGCTTTTCATCGACGAGGTCCACATGCTGGACATCGAGAGCTTCTCCTTCCTTAACCGGGCCCTAGAGAGTGACATGGCGCCCGTCCTCATCATGGCCACCAACCGGGGCATTACACGGTGAGCGGCTGCGGAGGCTCCTGGGGCAGGGGTGGCTCTGGACAGCAGTGCAGCTGCAGGGTAGACAGGTGGGGCTCCTTCCTGCGGTAGCTCAGACAGGAAAGGTGTGCTTGGCCGGCTTGCTGGCTTTGTTGTTTCTTTTCTGAGATAGGGTGGCTTGCTGTGTAGTTTAGGCCGGCTTTGAACTCATTATGTGGCCCAGGCTTACCTCAGACTCATGGTGATCTTTCTGCCTCAGCCTCCTGAGTGCTGAGTGCTCAGGTGTGCGCTATCACATGTGGCTTCTCTATTTTGTGGTGCTGGAAATGAACCCAGGGCCTCCCGCATGCTAGGCAAGTTTTCTGCCACGGAGCTACACCCCAGCCCAGGAAAGGGAGGTGTTCTTTTCTCTTCAGCAAGACAGCCAGCAGCTTGCAGCAGGCAGACAGTTCGGCAGACAGGGAAGCCTGCATTTCCCAGACTGTGGGAGACGCCCCAAGGGGCTACAGCAAACCTGCATGGAGCTTAGGGATACTTACTTTAATTTGGAGAGAATAAAAGTGACACTCGGTTGACACTACATAAACCACTGTAATTGCTTAAGTTGCTGAGACCTAAGCACGCACACACCGGAACTCTTAGTATTATTTTTGGCCTAAAGGTACAGTGGAGGCCGGAAGTAGTGGCACACACCTGTAGTCCTAATACTGGGAGGGTGGGGCTGAGGCAGGAGGATCGCCACAAATTCCAGACCAGCCAGGGCGATTTAGCTTAGTGAGACCCTGTCTCAAGATTTAAAAAAAATTTAAAAGAACTAGGGTTGTAGCTCAGTGCAAAAGCCCTGGGTTTGCTCGATCACCAGTACCACCTAAATAATAAGCAGTGTGTAAATTCCTGGGACCCTCCACCGCAGGTCCCTGGTGCCCATGCCCCCCAGTCTTGGCTGACCCCTGCCTGCTTTTCCATGGTTCAGCACCCAGGAGACAGGAAGGAAATGGAAGGCAGACTGGGATCGGGTGGGGCTTCCTGGAAGGACTCCTTGCGCCTTCTGCAGCAGCTTAGGAGAGCTGTGGTGTAGCTCTGGGGTCAAACCTGTCCCAGGCCCTGCATTTGATTACCAGCTCACAAAAAGCAAAACACAATTCAGGGAGTAAAGAACATCTTGGCCGTGTTTTCTAAGCCAGGTCAGCAAAGCTCAGTGACTTCCCAAGATCATGTGTCTAGAAAGTGACAGGGCCTGGCAGGTGTGGTGACACATACCTTGGTAACTGGGTAATCCCAGCTACTCGGGAGGCAGAAGGATCACAAATTCAAGGCCAACCTGGGCTTTGTCTGAACTTATGAGACTTGGATGTAGCTCTTGATGAAGCGTTTGCCTAGCATGTGAGAGGCCGGGGTTCAATCCTCAGCATTGCAAAAAAAAAAAAAAGTGGCAGGATCAGAAGAGACATTGCAGTGTGCTTACGACACCCGCAGCACCTAGGAAGACAGGACAGAGACAGGGCCATCCCCTCTAAGGAGGGAGCCAATGTAGCCAATCTGTACTGTTGGTAGATTCTGTTTGTGTTTGCTTTTTCAAGGCAGGGTCTTGCTGTGTAGTACAGGCTGACCTCCAATTCATGGTGATCCTCCTGCCTCAGCCTCCCAAGTGCTGGCATCACAGGCTGGATTCTGGTTTTGGATCTGGGTACTTGCTCAGATGTATTTGTAGTCTCCAAATCACTTCTGGGGACACTTCTCCCATCACTCACAGATGGGCAGACGTGACTTTCTGACCCCTCACTGTAAGCAAGTGTCCTTTTCCTGATCAGTTTAGCACCGTGTCTGTTGCTTTTTTGCGCAGAGTACAGCTAGTGTCCCCAAGCCAGGAGGGCTGTGGCAGCCACACAGGTCTAACGTGTGTACAGAGGTCAGGCACATGTGATAGTGCTGTAGACTGTGACGTTGGTTGAGTGTTCTGCAGGCTAGATGTGGGGGGCGGTACAAGATTGAACCCAAGCTCTTTACACTGTACTGTGTTGCCAGCCCTTGTGTTATTTCATTGTATTTTTATTTATTTTGTTGGCACTGGGAATCGAAACAGGGCTTCATGTTTGTCAGGCAGGCGCTGCACATTGAGCTACATCCCTGGCTGGACCTTGTTTTTATTTATTTATTTGTTTTATTTATTTATTTGGTACTGGGGATCGAATTCAGGACCTTGCAAGGCAGGCAGCAGAAGCACCCTGTTTTTATTTATTTACTTATTTAATTTAACTTAATTTTATTTTATTCTTGAGACAGGGTCTCACTGTGCAGTCCAGGTTGACCTTGAACTCACTGTGTAGCCCAGGCTGGCCTCTTAACTCATAGCAAGCAATCGTCCTGCCTCATCCACTCAAGTGCAGGCATTACAGGTGTGCGTCACCATGCCCAGCTGTTATTTTTTGAGACAGGGTCTTACTAAGTCAGTGTTGCCTAGGCTGGGCTAGAACTTGAATCTTCCTTCCTCATCCTCCCTTTCTGATTAGTTGATGAAAGTGTAAGCAGAAGTTGTCAGGAACCTTGTTTGCCTAAGCCGCAGTGGCTCCCTGGTTGCTAATTGTTTCCAGTGCCCTTACAGAAAGAAGGCAGCTAACGGGACCATGGAAGGATTGCCTGTGTCTCCCGTCGCCTGCCGTTAGCCAGGCTTGGGCTTGCTCAGGTGCAGCTGGGCACAGGACAGCCACAGTCCCTTGCCCTGTGGCGCTGTGTGAAGCGGGGAGGGGACCTTGATCCAATAATCCTGGACATAGAGACCTCGCTCAGACAGTGCCCGTGGTGGGGGTGGCCAGGGACTGACGCAGCTGTGTGGTGACGCAAGCTGCTGCTGAAGGTCGAGCGTGTTTAGCCCTCTGGGCCATGGTAGAGTGTGGGTGGCACACTCGGTGGGGGACCAAGAGCCCTTGTTGCGGTCCCCACCTGACAGCCTGCCCCGCCCAACCCAGCATCCGGGGCACCAGCTACCAGAGTCCCCACGGCATCCCCATCGACCTGCTGGACCGGCTGCTCATCGTCTCCACCTCGCCCTACAGTGAGAAGGACACCAAGCAGATCCTCCGCATCCGGTGCGCAGGCGCAGTGTGCCTGAGTGGGCACTGCAGCAGGGGGCGGGACTGGCCTGCGCCACGAGGTCGCTTCAGAGCCCGGAGGGCATTTCCCGTGACTGATGGGAGGGAATAGGCTCAGGTGGGGGCCAGGAAACCCGGGTTTTAAGTGTAGCCTCAGCATCTGTGGTTATGAGATGCCCGGGAGGGAAAGGCCAGGGTCACTGCTGCTGCCCGAGGCCTGGCCCCACCTGATCCCCGCCCCACCGCAGGTGCGAGGAGGAGGATGTGGAGATGAGCGAGGACGCCTACACCGTGCTCACTCGCATCGGGCTGGAGACGTCTCTGCGCTACGCCATCCAGCTCATCACGGCTGCCAGCCTCGTGTGCCGGAAACGCAAGGTCAGCAGCCGGATGGGCCTCCACACGGCTTCCGGTGCTGTTGCTGAACGCTGGAGGATGTTTTCTTTTTCTTTTATGGTACCGGGGATCGAACTCTGGTCCTTGTGCTGGCAAGGCAGACAGTGGAACCACTGAGCTAAATCCCCAGCCCATATGTTTTCTTTTTGGATGTCTGGTTTTTTGAGACTAGTCTTGCTATGTAGCCCAGACTGGACTCTGATTCACCCTGATCCTCCTGCCTCAGTCTCAGGAGAGCTGGGATGATTGGTGTGCAATACCACCCCCAATGGAGGCTGTTTTCAAAGGCAGGAAATTTTCATCCCTTATGTTTATTTTGCCATCTCCCAGTCTGGCACTTAGTAAGTGCTCATTATTTGTTGACCACAAGTAGGTGCTAAGCCCATCTCCTAGGTGAAGAAACTGAGGCAGGGGCCACAGCCTCCAGGAGGTGGTGGAGGTGGTGGGATTTGAACCTAGGATGCTGCCTTGCCTGCCAGCTGTACCGCCTGAGTGTGGTGGGGTCTGGGCAGGCCCCTCAGGCCTCTCACTCCCCCAGGGCACGGAGGTGCAGGTGGACGACATCAAAAGGGTCTATTCGCTCTTCCTGGATGAATCCCGCTCCACGCAGTACATGAAGGAGTACCAGGACGCCTTCCTCTTCAACGAGCTCAGTGAGTGCCCCACCTCTGCTCCTCCTGCCATTGTCAGCCTCGGAGCTGCACTGACCCACTGCCTCCCTTTTTACAGAAGGTGAAACCATGGACACCTCCTGAGCTGGAAGTCACCCCTACCCCACCATTTTCTATCAGAGTTCAGACACTGTGAATTTGTATAAAATGGTTTTTCAGCTGGACCCATGGTGTGTGCGTTGCCTGAGGCACAGAAAGACGCCTGGAATGCGGGTTGAGATGCCTTTATTGGGGAGGCTGCACGGGTCCTTAGAGGAAGAGGACACCTGGGAGGTGGGGGAGGTCACAGGCCAAGGGCTGGGCCCTGGGACCCCCGCAGTCAGAGCTGCTGAGGCGACAGGGCCCACAGTGGCAGCTGAGCGCCACGGGGAAGGAGACCACAGGGTCCACTCCGGGCGGGCAGCCGGGGAGCCGGATGGAGGCAAAGCGCAGCTCCCGGTAGGTGCACACCGGCTGGGGCACGGGTGGCAAGGCGGCCGACAGCACCCGCACCTGGAGACCGGGATGGGGCTGGTGGGCATCTGCTGGGACCAGGTCCTCACCTGAGCACACCCTGTTGCCAGGGCCAGGCTCCAAGTGTCCTGGAACCTCCACAGCCTCCCTCCCACCACCCAACACTGCCAGTAGGTCCCCTGCCTGAGCTGCTGAATCACTCTTCCCCTCTGCCACCCCTCAGGCTGCTCACCATGCTGGGGCAGTAGCCGGCACAGATGCTGGTGGTGAAGGTGACACAGACCGGGCAGGCCTCGTTCTCCGCGGCCAGGGTGGCGTTGATGGGCCGGCAGAGGGGCCGCAGCAGGCCCCTGGAGGCCCAGGCCCCGCTCGTGCTCAGCAGCAGCCCCAGCAGCAGCCCCTGAGCAAGGCCAGTGCCTCAGGCCCTGCCCGCTCAGCCACCAGTCCGACCCTCGGCCCACCCACAGCCCATGGGACCCCTGCATCCTCTGGAGCGCTGCTCCAACATTTCCCTCCCGCCGGAAGTCTGCTGGCTGCCGACCCTCTAGGAGGAGGCCACTTTCACCCGTGACACCATTCTGTGCCCAGTGTGGCCTGGAGGAGGGAAGGCTCCTCGGGGCCTCGTCTTACCTGGAGCATCTCCATTCTCGATGCTGCCCCTACCTACCGTCTCCCTAGCTTTATACCTGTGGGCTGTGGGGGCGGCAAGGCCACCCAGTGGTGGCAGCAACCTGGGGTAACCTGGACACTAATCCTCCCGGGGGCGAGAAGCGACAAGGTCGCTGAGGCGCAGCAGTGGCTCCGGAACCACCATGGTGAAAATGACCGGAGGCCCAGGCCCTGTTGGAGGCATAGGAAGTAGGGTGCAGAAAGCCCTCGGTCTGGGGCTGAGAGGAAGCCTCTGTGGGTCTCCCCTCTGATTTAAGGAAGGTGCTGAGGCCTCTGGAAGCCGCCCATCCGCCTGCCAGTCCTGCCTTTCCGGAGGCGCGAGGCTTCGAAATAGGATCCAAGCCGGGCGTGGTGGCGCAGGCCTGTAATCCCAGCACTGGGAGGCTGAGGTAGGAGGATCGCTGTGAGTTCGAGACCAGCCTAGGCTACATAGTGAGACTCAGTCTCAAAAAAAGAAAAAAGAAATAGGGTCCAGCCAGTGCTAGCGGCCTCCGAAGTGTGCTGGGACAGGGACCTGCAAGACGCCCCGGACGCCATCTAGGGATTCGGAAGAGCATCCCACACCCAAGCCTATTGGAAGTCGGGATTCCAGCAGGCCTCCGGAAGTGGGCTGAGCCCCACCCCCGCAGGGGCGTGTCCTTCCGATGGGCAGTAGTTTAATGGACTTTCACCAGTTCGGGTCCTCTCGAGACCAGTGGGCGTGTCCCAGCCCCGCCCCGCCCGCTCAGACCAGCTCGGGCTTCTGGCTGCCGTAGCGGGAGGACTCGGTACTGTAGGCTTTGGGCGTGCTGAAGATGCCGGGCAGAGGCTTCCAGTGAGGGCCGTCCCAGGGCGCCTCCCGCGGGCAGAACCAGTCCAGCGGGCGCAGCGGGGGTCTGTAGGACTCCTGAGCTAGGGACAGGGATCCACGGTGCGGCACGGCCGGCGTTCCCGGGACCCGCTTCGGCAGGGGTGGGCTGGGTCCCCAGCCCCGAGGCGTCCCCTTGAAGTTCCAGTAGGTCAGCACGTCCCGGCTGGCGGCCGACAGCTCTTTCCTGCGGGAGGGGGGTTCCAGAGCTCAGACCTCCGTTCCAGAGAGGCAGACCTCTACTGCTTTCGTGGCGAGGGAACATTTGTAGGAGTCGGGGACCCTTTAGGAGCAGGAACGGGAGGAGGAGCCCTGGAGTCTGGATTCCTGGGGTCAAGAAACTGGGACTTTCACATGTGAATACCGAAGGAGGCTCTGCCCCAACCCCATGAACCCTACTCTCCCGCCACACACACACAAACGTCTGAGCCGGCTCTTGGGCTCTGAAGGCTTCCTAACCTAACCGAGGTTGCTGTGGGCCCACACTATGGACAACTGGGTGGCACAGCGCCTGCTTAACACACGCAAGACCCTCGGTTCGGTCCCCAGGGGCAGGATTGTGGGAGCAGACTGGGGTGCTTTTGCGGGGGCAGGGGATGCTGGGGATTGAACCAGGGTCTCTGGCATGCAAGCCAACCACTCTACTACTGAGCTACACCCCCAGCCTTTTTTTTTTTAGATAGGGTGTCTGTAAGCCTCTAAATTGCCCTGCACTGAGCTCAAACTTGGAGTCCTTCTGCCTCAGCCTCCCAAGTAGCTGGAATTACAGGTATGTGCTGCCACCCCCATTTGGGCGCTAAAAAGAGGTGGTAGCTGTGTTGGAACTTTGGTTCTTGCTGTGTTCTGGAGTCAGAGGCTGAGACCACTGATTCTGAAAAAGGCTCAACTCCCACAGAAGCCCAGGGCTATGCGGCAGGGCTCACTGGGGGTAAAAGCGGAAGTCTCGGGACGAGGTGCTCATGTAGAGCTGATGGCGGTCCAGGACTCCTTGGTCAGATATCGTGAAAGGCCGGCCGGTCACCTCAGGTTTCCTTGCCCAGGGGACTAGAGCCTGAGGGAGATGGAGAGAGGAGAAAGAGATTGCACCTCAGTCCAAGTGCTGGCTTCCAGACTGGAAATGTCCTTTCACCTCAGCAGCCATGCTAGACCAGGCCCTCCCACGCTGCCCCTTGGGCTACTTGGACCCTGCTCCTCAAAGCCCATCTCAGCCTAAACACTGCCTGCTGGTCAAGGAATGAAAACCAAAGCCCACAGCCACTAAACGACACCCACAAACCCTCCTATTCCACCCCCAGTCACCTTTGGTCCTGGTGCTGGGAACAGCTGCATCTTGGCCAGCAATTCCACGTTACTTTTGCAAGTAAACCCAGACCCACCTCCCATCCGTGCCCAGCCTGGAAATCGTCTGGTCCCACTCCCAACCAGCCTCAGAGACAGAAATTTGAATTTCTAGTCCCCTCCTCCTCCTCCTCCTGGCCAAGACTGGAGAAGTCCAGCTGCTCCACAGCCTCCAATCCCTCCCAGGCCCTGGCCACACCCCAGAGTCTCCTCCTCTGGTCCTTAACCTCCGCACCCTCCCACCCTGCTCCAGACGCTGTGACCTGGGCTGGTCCCCCATGGCGGCGGTGGTCCACGAGCTCCAGGGGCTGGGCCCTGATGTAGGTGGCATCGTCCTGGGCCAGGGTGGGCCAGCCCTTGTACTGTGCCATCGTCTCGCTGCTCTGGGGTTTTGTGGTCAGGGGGAGTCGCCAGTGTCTGAGCTGCGGGAAGACCACCCAGTAACCCAACGTGAGGCAGGGGACTTGGGTGCCATCCCCTGCACCCTCTCCCCATCAGACTCTGGAATCCCAGGACCCTACCTTTTCCTCTAAAGCCTTGATCCCCACTGTCCGCACAGGGTCTGCAGGCTCTGGGGCCCTGGGCTGCGTGTAGGGCCCCCAGAGGGTCTTGGGCACCTGGGCCGAGCCAGATGTTGTCTCCCATCTGCTGATGACCTCGTCGAAATCCCAGATGTGCAAAGCCTGCCTAGCAGCAGGGGGTAGGGGCTGCGAGACTGTGGACTGAGACGAAGGGGCCACCTGTCAGACTAAGAAGACTCCAGAGCCCCTCTCTCCAGACCCTGGAATCCAGGGCCCACCTTCCCTCAGCCCCAGGATGAGAAATCCTTTCTCTTTCAGACAGTGTCCAATCCCCAGTTCTCTTTTTCTCAGCACCCAGGTTTCTGAGCCCCCAGGTCCCTCCCTCAGCTTCAGGCCCCCTCACCTGTACATTGGGCGGAGGAAAGGACACAGGTGGGATTATGTGGTGAGCAACTCCGCTGCTGGTGAGATGCCAGTTGGGCCAGGATCCGGGCACATCCCTTCCTGAGGTGGGTGACCACGGGGGAGCCAAGCGCAGAGCTCCGGTCCCACAGGCCATGGTCCCACCCCCACCGGTTGCCAAGCAGGAGCTAGCTTGTTGTTGCTGTTTCCCTGGTGACAGGACCCACCCACCTGAGCCCAGCCAATAAAGAGCCGCCGGCGTCTGGACGGACCCTTTAAAGGAGAAAGAGAGCTAGGGACCTTGCAAGGAGGACTGGAGACTCAGAAGAGAGCAGAAAGAGAAGCAGGAGAAAGGGAAGTAGAAAACTCAGAACATTTCAGAGAGGGTAGTGAGGGGAACAGATGTGGAAGGGGTGCGGGGAGATGGCAGACAGATTTACCGAGGGACTGGGACAGAGACCCCCCACATGGGATTCCTTGAGAAACACCCTCTTTCCTACATCCCCTGGCTGCCTCCTCCTCTGCCAGGCCTGCCCACCTCAGGGTAACGATTTCCAGACGTCCTGGAGCTCCCCCTCCCTCTATGGGCCGCTGGAGCCGACCCGGCGGCCGCCGTCCTGCCTGCCTTTGATTTGGCTGAAGACTTCCACCTGGGCATGGGAGGAGGGCGGGTCCCAGAGAGAACACAGGGAAATGCTTAGCACAAAAGAGGGGCGTGCGCTGTTCACCCGGAGACGACAGAGAGAGAGAGAGTGAGAGAGAGAGAGAGTGAGTCCCAGCCAGGAGGGGCAGAAAGAGATGCAGAAACAGACAGCAGATCCTACCCTCCCAAGGGCCCAGATTCCTGTGGGGTGGCAGGAGAGGGGCTGTCTAGGGCCTTAGTTCAAAGCTGGACCTAAAGGAATGTGTGTGAACCGGTGTGAGGTCACATGCCTGTACTCCCAGCCCTCTGGGAGGCTGAAGCAGGAAGATCCCAAATTAGAGCTTGGCTTGGAGTGATTTAGGTATTGTCTCAAAGTAAAAATTTAAAAGGAGGGGCTGGTGATGCAGATCACCCAGAGTTCAAATCTAAGTATCAGAAAAAAAAAAAAATGTAGGGCCAGGGGTTTGGCTCAGTGTTTCCACTGCCTGCCTTGCAAGCACAAGGGCCCAAGTTCAATCCCTGGTATGAAAAAGAAAAAAAAAAAAAAAAGCCTGTGGCAAGAGGTATGGGACAGTGGAGGATGTGGGGACTTTCCTTGTCACCTTTTGGCCTTTTAGATAAGACGTCTGCACCTCAGCCCTCTGTTCCATCCACCAGTCCAGTCTTCAGATAGGGGAAACCGAGGTCTGGCCCAGGGTCTCTGTGACGCCACCCCCTCCCCATTGCTGTCAGCCTTCTGTGTCCTGCTTGGATTTCCTTGGCCCTACTTGAAGCCGATCAGTGTCTGGTGAAACCTGACCCCAGCCTGGGGCCAGACCCAGTTGGTCAGAGCCTTGTCTCCTACTCCAGCCAGACAATTTTAAGGTCACTTTTCTCCCCTTGGGGGCTAGGGGAAGGGGTAGAAGCCAGAACCCAGCTCCTCACCAGCCAGGGACTGGACTCTTGAGAGGCGTCCTGAGCTCTTACACTCACCCTGCTGGTGCTCCCACTACCTCAGAATGGAGTCCCACCCCACTCACCCACTGCCCAACCTGACTCCACCTGGCCTACATCTCCAGGGTGCCAAGGCAGTGTGCGCTGAGACTGAGTGGTTTGCAACTCAGAGCTGAGTGCCCCTGACACTCATATCCACGAGTGTCACTCTGAGGAATTGTATGGGGGTGATAAACAATAAGCACACAGTAAATATTGGCCATTATTATTGTTATCATGCTCATGATTACTCTCAAGTTGCTCCAGAACTCCTATTCATCCCTTGCAGCCTCATTTGGTTTCATCACGTATCCCGTGTGGATCGAGCTTTCAAAAATCAGAATGCCTTGATTTTGCGATCATTTCAGTTCCCAAACTGAGGCCCTAGGAGCAGCCAGGCCTCCCCTAAGGTCCCGCAGCGTCCAGTTCTCTTCTTGGCCTGACCAGTTCGTGAGCAGGGGCCTCAGGCCCGGCCTGTCCGGCTGAGGAGCGTGCAGACGCAGGCAGTGTCAATTCGAATCCACCGCCAGCCCACACGGCCCTGGGCGTCGGCCGTCAGCGCCCGCACGTAGGACTGCTTGGCCTTACACTCCGAC